TGTCTTACCCCTATTGTATTTCGTCTCTGCATTAGCTGGTGATAACAGGCCCTTGAAATAAATAAACAAAAAGAAATAAGAAATATCCTAACTATTAAGTACTTGCAATTACATTCATTAAATTAACAAAAAAAAAAATATATACATGAAACTTCACTAAATAGTTAGCGTGTAAATCTCACTTGTTCTGTTACTTCTACGTTCTCCTTGTTTGACTTTTCGAATATTTTCTTCGCTATTGAATCCACCATTTTCTCTTCATACATGCTATTGGTTCCAGCTGTTGGGAGTAAATAAATCATTTATTAGAATAATATATAATTGACTATATGATTAATCTTCTTAGTTCAATAATTGAATTTAGACTTACTGTACCTGTGGTAAATGGTGGCCTGCATAATTTATTGACAAATTATTTACAATTCCCAAATGTGCAGGTAATTGACTTGTGATATATACAAAAAATCATGTTTAGTGAAAGCGGTTTGGCACAATGTAATTGATTTGAGACCCCAACCTCGAGGTCTGGTTTCAATCCTCAGTCCATATGAGCCACATGGCTCAGCAAAGATTTACTTTACAAAAATGTTTATACGGTACTTTACTTACAATGATCAGGTGATGTTTCCTTCCAATTTAATTCATCGTGGAATTCATGGGTGCAAACCGTTGTGTTGGCAATTGCGTCCGTAATATCCTCATTTGGATCAAAACTAAAGCAAAATGAAATGATTAATCTAAAGATATTGCTACTACAGAAAGCATAATATAGATATACATTACTGTACAGAATGTACATATTTAAATTAATATATAAATAAATGTGTGGAAATGGATTGATATTAATGAATGATACATTCATTTAAGTTGTCGATTATTTAATTTAATACAAAGAATATTTTAATTCCTTAAAAAAACATTATTGAAGGCTTCAAATATTTCGACTGGTTAACTAACATAGCGAAAGCAAACACTGAATATATTTAGCTTACGTATTCCTTAAGAATGACTTGATAGTAGAAGTCTTGCCGACTCTCTCGAGGCCCATGAAAACTGTCCTTCCTTGATTAATCTCTGCTTCTCCCTCAGCTAGAGCATCATTAAATGCCTCCATTGCTTCGTGCCCACGCGCCAAGATTTCCATTGGAACATTCTCCGCTTTAAGTATAAATATATCTGATTTACACATTGAATTACCTCATGAAACTTGTTATATATGAAAAGAAACCAATAATATTATTGAGGCCTGCAATGTCGTTATTTACTAGAGAGGTCTTTAACCTATTCATTCATCTGTAGGCATACACCTTTTCATAGTTGCATTTCTTTCCCCATAACAATATTCTTATCAATGGTGCGACGATTACGTTGATTATACCCATTTGTGATTACGGATAGCAGTTTAACCCAGATAAAAGCAACTTGCAAAACAAAAAAGAAGGATTAAAAATTATTTATTCCAAAAAGAGGAGGAATAAATTACGATGGGGAACAGAAAAAATATAGGCCTAGAGTATTAGTTTTATTTTCATCATTGGATAAATGTTTTACAGTATTATATTCAATGATATACTGAGTGATATTGCTATCATTCTGTGGGAATCAAGCATAAAAAACGCTGTAAAAAACATCACAAAGCACAACCAACAGCCCCCTGGATCACTAATCAAAATACTGTAAATAATACCACTTAAAGATTAGGTTTCTTATTTACTGTGTTTAAACGTTAAGTACTGTATGATACACATAAATGACACATAAAAAATGAATGTACATTTGGTGTTTTATGAATTTCATACTAAATATACAGTAAAGCCGTGTTACGGTATAGAACAATATAAAGTAAAAGACAGCAGCACTTTTGAGACTAACAATATATACTTTATTCTCTAGCTTTCGTCCACACAGTGGACTTCATCAAGAGACTGTGAAGTCCACTGTGTGGACGAAAGCTAGAGAATAAAGTATATATTGTTAGTCTCGACAGCAGCACTTTTGAGACTAACAATATATACTTTATTCTCTAGCTTTCGTCCACACAGTGGTGGACTTCATCAAGAGACTGTGAAGTCCACTGTGTGGACGAAAGCTAGAGAATAAAGTATATATTGTTAGTCTCAAAAGTGCTGCTGTCATTTACTTTATATTGTTCTATATACTATCAATTTCAAAATGATTTATACAAAACAAAAACAAATAAATATGAAATATGTTGGTATGAACAGCTCACTTTGTAAGAGACGCATGAGCATTTCTTTCTGTTCTTTTCTGTTTCTAGAATCGTACTTCCTACATGTGTTGCGCACATACATGTCAGCTGGAGTTTGACCATTCTGCAACGACAATCACATATCATACCTCATGAAATTAAATAATATTAATCAAGAGATACAATTACATTAAAGCTTCAACAAATGTTACACACAAAAAAAACAAACAACTGAATTGAATAAATTTACATATCAATTTAATTAATCTTTAATTCTACATTTGCATCTTGTAGAGATTCATGTTTACAATAAAACGCTGATGAATATCAATGGTTGTTACAACGATCGTGGATAAACATTTCGCCTGAGTGTATAGGCCGAAATCCTATTATCATTAGTCGCCACTACCATATCGACATTATGGTTGCCATCAATCATTTTAGTATGCTCCTTATCACCATCATTATTATCAAAATATTCATAATAATAATAATAATAATAATAATATGCCTAATAATAATACTAATAATAATAATAATAATAATCTTCGTCATTTATCTACTTTACCTCATTTGTTAACTTGGCATCCGCCCCATACGTTAATAAATAACGTGTTGCATCTGTGTGATCTCGGTATGAATGGTCAGCTCCTAACAACACGTGAAGTGGAGTATTGCCGTCCTGTAACACAATTGAAAACAGTGTTAATCAGTGAGAGCTCATAATCATACAAATAATTGAAAGCATAATGTGAATAATAATCCAGACACAGTCAACACCTCTGTAAACAAGAAAAATGATGCCATCTAAAACATTACAGTTAAAATTTAGGTAAATATAACCAACTTGTACTTTGTATAAAATACATTTTTCATTACAATTTTCATTCAATACAATAATTTAAAAGTACTATCATGTTATACTAAAAATGTCCTTTATGATGATTATTCCATTCTATTCAATTTATTTTATTGCTGCATTTTTTCATCATAAGAAATTAGGCCAAACAAAAAAAAGTTATTGTGTTGGCTACAACCAATCGAACCAAAATGTTCGAAAATTGAGGGTTATCATTTTATTTTATTTTATTACTTACTACAATGAAAAATATATTCAATGAGCTAAGAAATGTGGAATAAGCTTATCTTGCAACGGTAGGCGATGCAACAGTGATGCGATTATTTTACTCTTCAATATAGATTCAAAAATCGTGTTTGTTTTATTTTTAATATATTTTCTACTTTTTAGGCATAAACACATTATCGGTCAAAAAAAAAAAAAAAAAAATCCTACCGAACTACCCATTTTTTTTTTAGATCTTGCCAAAATGAGGCCAACAAAAGAATTTTTTTAATGCCATTATCACACAGCATTTAGGCTACATGGGGAAATGCATTGATAATAATGCTAATACTATAGATAATAACACGAATACTAATAGATGTGTTTATTTATAAATTATATAATACCAAAATACTGATATATTATAGAGAAATAAAAAATATGACAATGGCAGTAACAACAGTAATGATAATAATAATGACAAAACAAACTTCATTTATAATAAAGTTTACTTTGGTCAATAATGCGTACTGTAATAAAATTAAAATAATAAAGTTTATGCTCGTATAATGTGTTTTTATGCATAAGTTTAACCTTCGTATATTATAATATAAAACTACACTGATTGTTTTATATGGTAAGTCAATCACTCTCTACTGTACTGCAATATTCAACCTGTTGTTGTAGCGGTCGTCGATTGTTTTGATCACTACACATTAGTTGTGCGTATGCCAATTGTGCTGCAGTACGCACTAACACTAATCAAGTTAATTATATTACATCAGTGTGTTTACATCAGACGACGATGTGTATTTTGAATGATAAACTCGCCTGTGTCATGAGTAGGCCTAATTATTAACATACTGGTAAGCATCTGTCAAAAAATACAACCGTACATTGACAGCTCAAACAGGGCTGTAGCCAGTGGCCAGGTTGCAAGCGAAGCAAGCAAATGAGGCTGGAGGCCAGGGGGCGACGAAGGGCTCACGTGAGGCATTCCAGTGGCCTATGGACCAGGAAAATTATTCTATTTTGACAATTAACTAACAGACCAATTTACATGATGTTCTGTAATAGTACCTTTAAAAATATTTTATATAAAAATATGTTTTAAACTATTATTAGAACTATGATGAAGCTAAACAATAACACTTTGAATTCAAAACAGACAGGTTTATTCAGGAGAAAAATTGTTAATTTTTGTTATTTTAGTATTTTGATTTTTGACAATGACAAAATCTAAGATTCGATCAATGAACGAAAAATAATATCGCTAATTCTATGGTACACTTCAATCAATACGTATCAATTTAATAGAGG